TTGGTTTGTTTTTGTGTAGTCATGTAGCTTCTACCCCTGATAATCCAAATTCCAACATAAGAAATAGTGTGCTGTCATAGGCCAAACCTGTGACTTAAATTATCTTTCCAAATTAATAATGAAGTTTTGGAAAGAAAAAGAAAATTCCTTTCTCTTGATAAATTTGAGAAAAGTGTAAAACATGTAAAGGCTTATACATGTGAATGCATGGATGTATATGGATGTCACTAATTGTATTAACATATTATTGTCATGCTTGGTGCAATGTTAATAGCACAATGAAGGACTATTGCAGCAGTCCTTTGTATGGATTTGTAATCGGTTCCCTCCAGTTTTCAAGCTAACATCAGGTAAAATATGTTCTACACTTTTTCATACTTAATTGATTACCATCAACTTATTTCTTTAATATTCTTTGATATGCTTAACCCATTTATGACGGGTAACCCATGTATGAGACATCCGGAAAAATAAACATTGTCAGGCGTCCCGCCAGTGTCCGTGACGTTAGATTGGAGCTTGTTCAATTCTGTCACGGGCCGTGGCCGGTGCATGGGCAGACTCCGGGCCAGCCTGGGCACCGATTTTGAAGCCGTCCGGAAACTATTATTTTCGGCTTCAAAATATACCGGTGCTAGTGGGTTAATAGCATGGAGGTAATTTACACTATAAAACATAGTAAAATTAATTCAGGTTATTTTACTTGATGACAGGGAACCTCATGTGTAGTCATCTTGGTGTATCATCCCACTTCATATCTTGCATGCAGATTATGTGGCTTCATAGAATTTTGTGCCCATAGAAATATACATTTTCTAGTATTTTATTAAGAGTACTATTGTTTACAAAATATTAACCCACTAACGCCGGTATATTTGGAAGTTGAAAATAATAGTTTCCAGACGGCTACAAAATCAGTCCGTAGGGCTGGCCCGGAATCTGCCTGGCCGCCGCAGCCGCGGCCCGCAACGTATTCAGAGCGCGAGTTCCGATCCAACGTCACACTGGTGAGACGCCCGGCAATGTTTATTTTTCCAGGTTTCTCATATATGGGACACCTGTCGTAAATGGGTTAAAATTAATTTAAGGGTTATGGTTCCCCCCAGCAAACATTATTCTCTAGCCATTTCTTTTAATGACTTGAACCACTGAGACAAAGAAATCGGCCAAACAATTATCAAAGTGTTTCCTGTACAAGAATGAAAGAATATGCAAGATTAAGGGACCTGTCTGGTCTTTTTTCGCCATTTTTCGCCCATCTTGTCAAAATCGAGTTTGATGCATTTTCAAGGAGTTTCATGGCCTCTGATTCTCCCCTGAAAATTTCAAGGCCTGACCATAATTTTTTCGGTAGTAGTAGCCATTTTCGATGTCGACTGAAATATAATATTTTCACATTACCTTAGAAAATCGGCAATTTTGCCGCATTGATTAGAGATTAAAAAATGAGATTATTTTCTGAAAGCTTATCAAATTTCACATAAGATGAGACCAACCTTCTTTTTTTCGGAATAATTTAAAATCCGGCAAGCGTCCAAAAAACGATAATGAAGAAATTTTCCATACAAATAAATAAACATGATATGCTGTTCATATGGAGTATTTAATTTTCTTTATGTTTTCATCATACATAGTTAGATTGATCTATGAGCAAAACATTTCGAAAATGCAAACCTCCCCCCCCCCAAATGGGGGTAGTTTTGCCAAATATTCAGGATCACCACCAAAATTTTATGGAATATTAATTAGGCTAAGACAAACCTCAAATCTGTTCATAACTTTTCGAGTTAGAAAAAAAATTCCTGGATCCAAACCATGGTCCGCATCACCACCAAACTGCAATAAGCGTCTAAGTTAGGTTAAAACTCACCTTTGGTTAAAATCTCGTTAAAATGTGTTCATAACTTTTAGAAATATTAGAAAACAAACAAAACAAAAAAAAACAGCAAACTACAATCAAGAAACAAAGAAACAAACGGAAGTAACAATATAAATAAACAAAAGGTCATGGGGTACACAAAAATGATCTATATGCGCTTATATACATACTTTTACATCGCCATGTAATTTTTTTTCATCTTTCCATATGGTCTGAGTGTAAAAATTGGCCACATGGCCCCATAGAGTTAAACACCATTATTCCGCAGATGTAAAGAGATGTGTCATAATACTGCGACGCCCGGCCGTGCTGAGAAAAGGATACGTATGATTCCCGTCTGACTGGAGAATGGTTATTTTTTTCAACCAATATTATACGTTGTAAAACCCCATTAGAGTAACAATAATACGTAAATAATAGATAATTATATCAAATACAAGTATTTTGTACATGATTTGTCATGTAAAATTTATAAATGATGAAAAGGAAAAAGATCATGATTATTTGGTCCTTCACATTTTTACGTAAAACACACGTCTTTTCAATCCAGTTTTTATGTATTATGGCTCATTTTGTTGTTGAATAATAGATCTATTACATGATGCAATAAGGATTTGCAATATTTTCATGTGCTTCTTATAAAAGTGACATATATTTTCAAAATCTCCTATTAGGGTGTTTTAGTAGTTACCTGTATGATTTTTTATTAAAAAAAAAAAAAAAAAAAAAAAAAGTCAATGTAGGCCTATAGACCCCCAGATCACTGCCACCACTCTACACTATACGTAAGATTTTGAGAAACCATTACGTGCGGGTAATGTCTGGAAGACTTCGGAATGCAGGTAGATGATAGAGGATTATGGTGTAGGAAGACTAATCTTTTACCTTGTTTTGTTGATACCAAGATAGTCATGAAAAAATGAAGAAAACAAAAAATGATGATATTTCGATACACCACCTTTGTAGGTGCAAAAGCTGTATCAGACGCAATTTTAGTCCAAAATAAATGTTTTACGGCTCATTTTGTAGCTGAATGATAAATCAAGTGCTTGTTCGAGATGGATTTTGCAATTTTTGCCTGTGCTTCTGGTAAAAATGACAAATGTGTAAAAAAAAGCATAAAAAAAAAAAATCCTGATAGTCAGTCACTCCAAAAATTCACAAAAAACAATCAAAAACAAAGTCAAAATTAAAAAAATTGTTTCAAACAAGCACTAGATCTAGGATGAATCTGTTCAAAAATCACATAAGAATGCGTGTAATTTTTCCTGGATTTTAAATAATTTTTGCCCTTTTGTCAATTTTCAAACTGAGGGCTTCGCAATTTTTCAGTTTTTTTACAATAATTCAAAAACTGTTTTGAAAAAAAATCAACCACAGAGATCAGGGGAAGGTCTAAATAAAAGGGTGTGAGTTTCATCAAAATCGGCAAGAAAAATCGGAAAGTCAGAAAAAAAAACCCAGACGGTCCCCATAAAGATCATTTATTAGAAAGAGTACCTTATCCACTGGATAATATATCACTTTGCATAACCTCTTTCTTTAAATTGCCTTCCCAGAGCCTTGTTTCTGGTGCCGAGAACAAGATTAGACTTATTACCCTTCTACTCTCGCCTGGTCGCAACGCTTCAGCCTCTCATGCCGGACCTAGCCACCGATTTAGTCAACATGTTACGGCAAGATTTTAAGTACCAAGTGCGGAAGAAGGTGAGGGAAAAATGTAACAGCTTTACTCCTTAGCATGGTTTGCAGTACATATATGTATATAAAAGGAAGCTCATATCAGTTTTTTTTCTCTTGTTGGATTCTTTTTATATTAACCCATTGGATCCAGATGCTTCACTGCCATCATGTGTCCCAAAATAAGGGCATTAAACATATTTGAATGGCCACCCTGCTAGGTGTGTGACTTGTAGGCTGTGTGCACATGAACACTCATGTGGAGTGACAAGACTCCATGCTTCCTCTTTACAATGTTACTTTATCTTTTTCTGCATAAATGTTTATAGTCTTTTTGCCATTTGCCAATGTCTATATTTGTCATTTGATTTGCTTTATTCAGATAGTAATAGACTATTTTCCTTGCTCAAACTCCATAGATAATATCTCTTTAGATAGCCCGTATGTCAGTGCAATGATATGAATAATTAAATGAGGCAAATAACAAAATGCAAAACATTTTGTTATTTGTATTATTTCATTTAATTTTATTTATTTGTTTATCTATTATATATATATATATATATATATATATATATTATATATATATATATATATTATATATATATATATATATATTATATATATATATATATATATATATAAAATTTTGTAATACTGCCTGTGCCTTAAGTCCTAAACACTAAACAAGTCTAATCACCCTCCAAGAGGTTTATGCACGTGTGGCTAGTTATTCCCATCACCCAGGCCTTCAGCTGAAATACTCACATCAGCAAATTCACGTCACCACAGACCACATCTGAATTTTTCCATGATGGCATGTTTGTGTCACTCGCCTCTCAAGCCAATATTTTTCATGACATGATGGTCATGTCATCCAGAACATAGGGGGGTTATTGGTATAATTCTTAAAAAAACAAACAGGATTCCTGCATCACTATGTTTATTCTTCCCCACAGGACCAAATAAATATCGAGTCTAAAATAAAGGTTGTGAGATTCATAGGAGAGTTGGTCAAGTTCAAAGTGTATCCACGCAGTGAGGCTTTACAGTGCTTGAGAATGTTACTGCAGGACTTCAGTCATCATCATGTGGAGATGGCATGCAATCTCTTGGAGACTTGTGGCCGGTTCCTTTATAGGTAAGTCTTTAAAGAAACTCTATGGATACTGATTGATTGATTAATTACAATCAGTATAAAGTACACCCTTCACGTGGGGGGGGAAATAAATAGATACATATGCACCATATAGAAACCAAAAAATATCCCAGACACTATCTTGAACTCAACCTTGACTTTCTTCCATTCCCATATTTGCAAAGAAGTTTTGTGTTTATAGATATTTTGTATGAAATTCTCAATCACCAAAGAAAAGGAAAAAAGATATGACAAAACAGGAAAAAAAGAATTGTAATTCTTTAATTCTTATAAATCAGAAAG